TTTTTTTTTTTTTTTTTTTTTTTTTTTGTGTGTGTGTGTGTGTGTGTGTGTGTGTGTGATATGTATGTGCGTTAGGGTATATCCATCTCCACTAATGGTTAATAACTTAATAGGTGGTGTCATTTTCGGTGAATTTTTCACCGAAACTGTTCCATTAACCATCTCTCATTACTGGCATTTGTTCTTGGGGCCAGTCAACTGAGAGTTGCTGTTGGAACTGTTGAAGAAAGGCAGTCCATCAAGGGCAACCAATGCTTCTGTTACTTGATTTTCTCCTGCGCCAATTATACAACAGACTTTTGCAGAAGATTGTGCCCAGTTCATGCAAGGGGAAGATCGTAGCAGGAGGCACCTGTGCTTGTACTCTTGTTGAGGGGCACCTGCTACGATCTTCCCCTGTCCTGAGTGTCATCCCTCCATCTCTCGACTTCCTTTTCCTTTCTCTCCCTTGTCCGTGTAGGGCCTACCATACCGCTGCATGTATTGTATGTGTGGGAGGGGCTTCCACTACCCACCCAACAGGCTTGTTTTGAGCTGTCGTTGCTCCTGCTATACCCTTTTTTCTGCTGGGGAGGGCAAGATTCACCAGACTGCAGCCCTTGTACTGAGTCGGTTTCTCTGCCCGTCCTCTTGCCACGTGCAGGCTGTCCAATCCCTTTATCTCTCTTTCTCACGTCCCACTTTTACTGGTCTGGTAGAGACCAGCCATATTTCCTTCCCTCCCTTCCCTGGTTTGTCATCGGTACAGTGTCACGAGGGGCCGGTCCGGCCGGCGTGAAGGGGGAATCCAGGGTAGAGGAGGAAGGGGGCGGTGTAGGAGTTGACGTGCCTCTTAGCCAAAAAAAAGTTGTTTGATTTGCAATTCTGCACAACATAAAGTTTTCCCAGTATTTCTTTCGTTACTTGGATACCCAGATATCTAATTGGCGTCTCTGGCTTATCCCATGACATCTGGCTCTCCGGACTTCGGAGTTGTGGAATAGGTTCATCTGAAAGCCACCAACCGATCGACTTGCCCCAATTTATCTTCATTTCTGAGGCTAATCTGAAGGCTTCCATTGCCCTAACTAAGGCTGCCATCGACGAGTTGGAGGCTCTGACTAGGACGGTTAAATCATCAGCAAACATGATTACTGTGGGAAACCCCATGTTGTGTGCAGATCCTACGTTCATTTCCGGCAGCCAGATCAAGAACAGACGATACTGTCTAAATTCAAACGAGTCTGGTTGGTAGGAGAAAAGGTGGCGTGGCTGAACAGGCCGGTCTTAAGATGGAAGGAATGGCACAATTCCGACAAGCCCTCAGTCCAGCAGAATACCCAAGAACACGAAGCACGAACTCCAATATGGGCATAAGGCAGTTTCCATTAGCGCGCTGGGTAAGTCTTCAGCAGTCACCCTACATGTGACAGAGTAACAGAGAGAGAGGATGGGAGGTTTCCACATGGAGAACAGCACACGAAGGGAATGAGAGTCTCAGACGGATGGTCCCTAAGAGTTCTCGTTCTTCAATACGCAAATATGGCAGCCGGTTCTACACATGCTCAGGATGCTGGCCCTGCCGGTCATCGGGTAAAGGAGTTGCTCCAAGACAATCGAGGGTTCAGAGCTGACAAGGAAAGAAACATGGACCCTGCTGCTCAAGATGGTGGGAACAGAAGGTCGATGCAAAAAAGGGGGGTGATGACAACAAAATTGAGACTGTAGTCTAAGGAGGATAGACAACTCTCCCAGTTTTCTCGTTTCTTTGAGTCATATTTGACAGACCCAGAAGGAGGTCTGAGAGGAAAACCAGTGTAGGGCAAGCTGACAGTCAATCCCCCAAAAAAGGAGCAATCAATGCTGCTCAGGGTTACTTCGGCCAGACTGGAGGAAGCGTGAGAGTGTTCTGTGAGGAACAAGCCCTCAAGGGGCCTTATCAGACATCACATTGTTCTGGGCTCAGGCCCCCAGCAAGCCAAGTGCCCGCCCTAAGTGAAGGCGGGCCTGAATATCCGTCAAAGGCAAAATTCGATATTTCCATATGTGGGTATTCAGGCTCTCGCAGCACGCCATTTGGTTGGAAAGACGCGTGAGCCTCACATTGCTGCGTCATACAGTTGGCCCAGGTCTTGACAGTTGCGCCTGGGCACACATACACAAAGCAGGGCCGATACATTGGGAAACAGGCCTTCGGCCTTTGCAAAACCAGTAGTGCCAACGCACCTGCCTGGGAGCCCTGCACAGATGCAGCAAACAGCCCAAGTCCGGAGACTCAGGCCGTGCCTAACTGCAAAGGGGCCCAGGCCCTCAACTGTAGTCTCGGGCCTGGGTGCAGGGTCTGGGACCCAACCAGAAGCTACTGGAAGCTTCCAGCCAGGCCACACGCAGCATCCAGGAGGCTGCCACTTCCACAAAAGGAGTGAGGCAGCCCAGGCTAGGCATTCTGGCCAGTGCTGGAAATGCGGAAGTGTTGCTGCGCTCTAGCTTGATGCTGCGCTGCTGCCAAGGGCGCTGACGGGGCGCGTAGAGCTGAAGTGGGGCGCTGCAGGGCAGCAGGGCGCAGGCGGCCATAGTCGGGCTGCTGGGCGCCAGGGGGTAATGCGGGCGGTCGAGTGGTCTTCAGGGAAGGAGGCGAGTGTGGGACATCTAGGTCTGATTGAGGGTGACAAGATACATACCTTGTACATGAAGGGAGGTCGACGATGGTGTTGACAGTCATGTACATTGGTCTTCGAGAGTCGAAGTTGCATGAACCAGCTGTAGGTAGGATAGTCGGGTAGAGTAGGCTGGGCGCTGAGCGCCAGACAGGAGAGGAGCGACTTTGGATACTGTGTTGGTGTGGCCTACGGGCTTGAACATTGGCTCATTACTTCATTGTATTGCTCTATATGGATGGTTTCTCGGTGCATTTTGTACTCTCTGCTTGGATACGACTACCTTGACATCTTGTGATTTCGCAACTTGGTTTTCTGTATATCGTGCACACTCATATTCCTTGCAGTTCACTATGTATTTCAATATTTGACTTGCCGATGGAAAGGAACCGGACTGACGCTGCCCAGAAAAAATAATAATAATAATAATAATAAATCCAGTATTTATTCTGCAATGACTTGCTGATTTTGACTGCCGAGACCTGACTGCGAGGCTGTGCAGTAACAGCGTAGGGTTAGATTCGTAATTTTGTTTGTGTCAGGGACTAACCGAGAGTTTAGTGCTGAGGGAAATTCGTCAGCGACATATCTGTAATTTCTCAACATTACAGGCCCACAGTTCCCTTAGGCCGCACTGCGACTAGCAGGCGCGGGCTACCACTAGGACGGGAGGCCCTAGAGGCCCAAACTGAAGCGGTACCGGTCGGTCCAGTCCGTGTCTGGGTCTAGGCTAGTCTATTAATAGAATGAGGTCAGTAGGGTTAGGACTTTTGGCAGTTTCATTTTCGCGTGACAGCGTTCTGAGCCAAGCAAGTATTGCATAGACGATTGCCTGCAGGCGGTATCCTGAGACCTTCGTCGTGGACGGCAGCCATAGCCAGCCTTCTGGAGCTTCGCCATAGCTGGGGCGTCCTCTGAGCATCCACCCCTGGGGTGCTTGCGAGCGGCTGGGCTATTATGAGGCTCTACATGGTACTCGTGGGTGGACCAATGTTGCCGCATCTTCCTCTGAGATCGTGCGTGGCATCTACAGTGGCGCTACAGCCATGGCTGCAGCTTTCTTCGTCAGAGTTGCTCATCGGCACTGAGGGTTACATCGTAGTTCCTGTTCTTCATCTAGGTGGTTAGTGCAGGCCTCCGGGAGGCTGTGGTTGTGTGGCGCTACTAACTGGGTGTAGTCTAGGGAGTGGAGTGTGTGGTTCTGTGAGTGGCGAGACACTGAGACAAACTCTGTAACAATATTGGTTCAGATCGGCTCAATCTCAGATTGTTCTTTTGTTATCCTCACAGGTGTCTACTTGTGATTGGTTGTTGGGAGTACTGTCAGAGAGTGAGAAACACTTTGTGTTATCTCCACACCTGTGCATAGTGCTTTTCAGCTGCTTACTCTGTCTGTGTGCAGTGCGTCCTCTGTCTCCTCTCCCCTTCTTCTTATGCCTGTATGGGCGTGTGTGAGATTGCCTGTGTGTGAGCGTTGGTGAAAATCGATAGACAATCAAGTTCATAACAATTCCTTCTCTATAGGCAGATGACGACAGGGAGGATAGCTTTAAAGCAAGGGTGTTCAGCTGCTGCAGGATTTGGTCCGCAACAGCTCGCCCTGGTGGTGATAAACTATCAGCACATCGCTCTGCTGGTGGTTCATATGGAAGTCTATTTTCCTCCTGGGGCTGCTGTGTCTGTCATTTGTCTGACGAAGATTCATCTTCGGTTGCCGTAGGTGTAAGGCAAACACCGCATGTGGGACATGCTAGGAGAGGATGTGGCAGGTGATGGCACCGGGGATAGTCCACGCAGTAAAGACACATACTTGATATGAAAGCTTCCTGGAAACATTGACGACACGTGGTATGTTGCTGACATGTCATCAGTATGGAAGGCTGACGTAAGCAGTTACGCATGGCAGATCAAGGCCACAACAGCATGCTGGGGGATGAGCACAAGACAAGGGATCGCAGTTTTCGTGGGAGAGGCTGGCAGCAACCATCCCTTCATAAGTTCATAGTGTTCGGAGCAGACGCTATGCCGTGTACATGCCAACCAAAAAAACTGTACCTGCGCGATGGCACAACGGGAAGGCACAACCACCATCTTCTGGAGAGGTCCGTTCACGTTTTGTGGTAGAATCAACCGGTTTGCTCTCTGAGGGGTGCAGTGCTTGCAAGCGCTCATCGACATACTGTTCCTGATGGACGAGCCAGACCGAGTGATCTTCCACCGCTTGGTGATAGAAAGAGTTAACATTTCCCGCTGTGTGCACCCTACCGCCATTATCCCATAGGGTCCATGAAAATATCTGCAAAGGTAAGAGCATTGAAATGATGTGGACGATGTAAGATAATATGCCCGACTATTCGGATCCATGCCTGGCACATGTTTTTTTGTGGAGCAGGCTGTAATTGTAGTCGCCTACCCATAAATGCCATAGACAGGACTTCTATGATCACACCAGCTGCAGTACTGTCGTCCTCTGGGCAGACGGCACAGTGCTCTTCTTCTATCCAGCGGACAATGTCTGTGAAATCAGAAACTATATAAGGGTTACAATTGTAAGCAACAAGACACACATTAATGGCATAGTATGCACAGCGGCCTCGCTGTAGCGCTATGACATCATCCGATTCCACGGGTTGTGCAGCAGGAGGAGATTCGTTCAATTCTGCAGATTGCACAGGTGGCAGAGATTTATTGCGGTCTTGACCATTTCTGCCAGGTGCCTCTGGCTCCATTGGCTCCAGTATGCGCTCCGGAGAGAGATCATCTTCAGTCGGGGGCTCCATCAGGTAATCTGAAGACGGGTCATTGTCATTTGGGGCAGGGGAGCAAGCGGGCTAGGTGGGTGAGAGAGGGGCGGATCAGGCGGGTGAGAAATGGGTGGACCAGATGCGGGAAGCGGAAGCTGATCAGCCACACTTGTGCTCAGAGCGGCTGCTAGTCGTGCAAACGCTGCACAAGTAGCCGCACCTCGTGTCTGGTGCACATGCAGGCCTACAGCACTGAAGAATCATCGCCACATTGCGGGCATCGGACTCGACATGTACTATTCCTGGCTAGAATGTCCTGAAGGCGACAATGTCTTCCATACAGTTGCGAGCATGCCTGCGGAGCAGATCTCTAATCCCTGCAGAAGGCGCAATGCTCATGCTGTTCAAGGATATACGAGGCCAGTGTCTTGGAGGCGGGGGTGGAGACGGAGAACGTTCTCGCCGAAGAGGCATCTGCAACCGTCAATCTAACAATGGATGCGTCCGCCAACGGGGTCTTTCTCACGGCTGATCCGACCATGAACGTGATGATGTTGATGATGATGCTGAGGTCCATGACGAAGAGGAGGCCTGCAAGGTGGCGGAGGCCCAGAGGGGAAATTAGGAGAAGAGGAAGACGAACAAGTAGCGGAGGCAGATGACAGAGTGGTTGATGTAGTAGAAGATGTCGACAGGAGGAGTGTTGGTAATGATGGTTGTCGCGGTGATGAAGATGATGACCGCAGTGACGGCGGCAGTGGTGGTGGTGCTGGGGGTGGTGGGGTTGATGTAGTAGAAGAAGTCGACGGGAGGAGTGTTGGTTATGATGGTTGTGGCGGTGATGAAGATGATGACCGCAGTGACGGCGGCAGTGGTGGTGGAAGAAGAGGGGGCGGTGGTAGTGATGATGGTGGCAGTGGTGCTGGCGGTGGAAGCGGTATACTTTCCGCTGCCGTCATCGTATTGGTCGGGTGCTGGCCCTCCTCCCTTGCAGCCACTTCGGCCAAATTTGTTGCGGCTGGTCTGGTCACCTGCTGGGTCAGCGTATCCACATTCGCGTCTGGCATTTCGGCAGGAATAACGGGAGAGGGTGGGAGGGCCGCTGCTGCCAATGGTCAAAATCAGTGTTGGGCTGCGGAAAGTGCCCTATTTCGTGTGTGTGTGTTGTGTGTTTTAAAATTCCACCACAACAGCCCCGTATTCCACCCAGACGAGTAGATTCGAGTTCTTGATGTATCCGGCCACAACTATGACCCGTCACGGACATATCTGACGGCAATCACGGCCAGAGCTGACTTGAGAAGGTTCCAGTCTGAGTAGGCACTTGTTTTTTTTTTTTTGGGGGGGGGGGGATTGTTATAGGAGTAGTGGAGCTGTCTAAGAAATAGTAAGAATACTAAGAATGCATTTTTTTCTTTTTTTGACTGCTGTATTCACCCAAATATTTTTTCCTTTTGGAATGCTACAGAGATCGAAGCTTACCAATTTACCATGGCCCCTGCTCGTGATCAAGGACGACAAACACAAATTGAGAGATGGTCCAAAGACTCCAAACCATTATTGTCTTTTTTTTAAGCTGTGGGAAAAAGAATCTACCTGCATATACATGATGTAGTTGGAGAAGAGGGTTACAAACGCAGTCAACCACGCCATCAGCATCGCTGTATACACATATCGAAGTGGTTCATATCGAGTTCCCAGATGTTCCCCTCCAGGATTCGTCAGCACAAATGCTACCTGCATCACCATCACGATAGCCATCGTCATAACAATCCTCCTCTTCCTCCTCCTCCTCCTCCTGATCAACATCATCGTCATCATCATCATCCAAATCATGGACATTTTCATTGCTTCCCTTGTGGTTGTCCATGATAACTAACATAAGCAAAGAAGAAGACGAGAAGAAGACAAGAAGAAGACGAAGAACATGACGACGGCAACGATGATGACAACGACGACAAAGAAGAAGAAGAAGAAGAAGAAGAAGAAGAAGAAGAACAAGGAGAAGGAGGAGGGTGGAGGAGGAGGAGGAGGAGGAACCTCAAAAATGATGTCAATAAGAGTCGATGAGCCAGCAAGACCCTTAGGGAAGTGCACATTGCAAACCCCCCTTTTTTTTCTGCAGTGTGGCACAAGGGTATCTGGTCATATCGCCCACAGGTCGGTACAGATGTATGTGACATGAGAAGTAAAGCCTCCTACTCCTTGCTACCAATGTCTGTACGGAGTATGCACCCCTTCTTTTCTCCTCGTTTTTTCCCTGTGCATATGAGTATGCCTGCTTCATTCACCTTTTTGAACTTCTCCTTCCCCCCTCCTTTTTTTTTCCCCTGTCAATAGTTCATTATCCCGTCTGGAGTGTGCCCCTTCACTTGTCTTCCCCCATCTCCATACTCCCTCCTCTCCCCCCCCCCCCCCCCCCCCTCCTCCCCCCTTCCTTTTTTTTCTTCCCTGTCAACAGTTCATTATGCACAGCATGAGGCTCACGGCCTAGGTTGTAAAGGGCCTGCGCCTGCTGGAAACTGTCTGTGCCCGCCCTAAAGGGCCCTAAGTGAAAGCAGGCCCCCTTGGAAATTAGAGGAGACCTTTCTGAGGCCGATGTGAGCAGAAAGTGACCTCGTGACTTGAATGCTGCACGCAGCATCTTCAACCAACCGGTAGGCCCGATCGGCTAAAGACGCTGGGCCCAGCAAAGATGCTTAGGCCCAGGACACTTACAGTTGAGCGCCAGGCACATTTTGGAAGGACCCTGGGCGCAGATACTTGGACAGTGGCCGAGCACCCAGAGCCTGCCTCGCCCAGCCAGCCAGCACAAAAGGAAGTGAGGCTCACTCACTCACACATTCTGGCTGGCTGGCTGGACGGCAGCAGCGCTGCTGGAGCGCTGGCTGGATGGACGAGAGGTGGGAGTGGAGAAGTGTCCCAGGCACATTCTCAAAGGGCCCTGGGCGCAGATACTAGGACAAAGGCGAGCATCCAGAGCCTGCCTTGCCCAGCCGCCAGCACAGAAAGGAAGTGAGGCTCACTCATTTCAAACATTCTGGCTGGCTGGACGGCGGCAGTGCTGCTGGAGCGCTGGCTTGCTGAGTGAGAGTCGGGCAGAGTGAGAAAGGTCGCTGGCGGGGCGCGAAGAAGAAGCTGTGTGGAAGCAGCTCGAGCGCAGCAGCCATAGCCTGGGAGGTTGAGCGGAGGGAGGTCCTTGGGCGAGGGACAGTGTGTGTAGGTCGAGGGAAGACTGATACATGTGGGCGCTTACCTGATGTCAATGAGTGGGCCACTACAGTCGGAGTCTTCATATGCCATTGGGCTGTTGTACTTCATGAAGACCGGTCGCTGTCGTTTACAGTCCAGGTAGATAGGTGCTGACTAATTACAGGCTGCACGCCTAGCACCATAGAGGATGCGCGACATTGTTCTCATTGGTCTTGGAGGCAAGAAGAGGGCTTTCATTATCAATTAACTTCGGTGATCTGCTCTTACTTATTTGGTGTATATCATGGTACAATCTGCTTTCAGTTCATGCACAACTTATCTGGAGTCTCTATGGAATGTTGCAATTTGGTTTCTGTCATTCACATTGCTCATTTTCCTCGCACAGTATATAAACTATTATAAAGATATCGATATTGTAGACCATCAGGAGTGTTTGCAGGAAGCCTTGTCTACTCAAGAGTCTAGAATTTTGATAATCGAAACATCCTAGAGCGTCCATTCGCTTTAAAGTTTAAGCGCACACAACAGGAAGGGGGAGGATGCAAGCAGCTAACCTTGTTCACTTGGACAAGCTTGTAGTTGCAGGTAAGGATCGCCAGACTCATGACTGCGGTTTCTGGAAAGTGGGAAGAGGCAAAAAAAAATAAATTGAAATGAGCACAAGATAACGAAATCATAGAAAGTCGAAAACCCAGCCAACAGTACGCAAAGTTACAATTTACTAACAGTCTAGGGTGTGTTTCCAGGCACCTGGGCACCCAAGTTGTGGCCGGATACCAGCCCGGGTGCCAGGCTGGGCATGCCACCCGGGAAGGGTTCCGGGCAAAACCGGAGCAAAAAAACAAAAAAAAACAAAAAAAAACAGAGATAAAAACAACAGAATTGCTATGAACAACATAATTCCTCATAGCATTGAAGATAAAAGAGAAAATAAGAGAACCAGACTAAGGCCCCCCTTTTAAACCCGTTTAGCCCCTTTTAAAACCAATTCATAATTTTCAATTTTGTAGTAAAATTTGTACCCCCCTTCACCCCCCTTGGCAGCCAACACTCGAAAAAAGAAAAC